AAACAAATTTCTCTTAAAATGAAGTCATACCTCAGTGAAGATGACACTTTGCACTTTGAACCGTCCCATTCCCTCCATGAATTATTCAGTGTCATTTGATGACTCGTGAACCTCAGTAAAACCCAGAAAACACCCAATGTACATACACGCAAACACGCACACATGCATGCACACACGCACACATGCACACATGCACACACACCCACAGTTTTTTATGATTTAGGTTTTTTTGTGATCTTGCAGCTCATGCTATGATCAATACTTTGACTCAGACTGCTCTATTTAAAATTCATTTTCAAACCAAAAAAAGAATATTCAACGTGATTGAACACATGATCGATTCATAGAGTCACTGAATATGTTACAGTCCCTCCACATGATTCCTGTATATGATTTATCCATAATGTATCTTCCTATAAAGTATAATTTAATGAATATACTTATAGGAGAAAACCAGCAATAGTGCCAGTAATCACAGTTTGAATGCTTTGTTATTTTCAAAAGAAATGAAAAAAGTCTTATAACAGAGGTTAGCTATTTTTGCTGTGTTATTGCAGAAATAGCATGGTATTTTCCCAGTGGCACCATAACTGTAAAGAGCTGTAATTGGGTTATGCCTGTGTGATGGACAACAGCTGTATGATGACTGTTGTCTCATTTCAGGGATGCTGAGAAATGCACTGCATTCATACCAAGTTTGAAATTGACACCACCCCTTATGTCTTCAATGGGGAACTAATACTGCACCATGCAGACACCAGGAACAACAGGAGGAACTAATACTACACCATCCAGAGAATGGGAACAACACAGGAAACTAATACCACACTATCCAGAAATCAGGAACATGACAAGGAAGTAATACTACATCATCTAAAATCAGGAACAACATAGAAAACTCATACCATACCATCCAGATGTCAGGAGCTACACAGGAAACTAATACTATACCATCCAGAAACCAGCAACGAGACAAGATACTAATAATGCACCATCAAGAAACCAGGAGCTACACAGAGAACTAATACTAGAAACCAACCAGAAATCAGGAATAATGCAGGGTACAATTCTAAAACAGCTATTCTAAAACAGCACTGTTTTTTGCCTTTTCCACTTGTTGTAAAGACAGATTCTGAGCTTTCAAAAACAGCTCATCGTTCCATCCTGTCCTGTTTGCTCTCCCTTATCCTATTACATCTGTCCCAGCTGTGTTTAGTCTTTGGCCACCTGAGTTGGACATTCGCAAGTCCTCTGTTTATGCACATTCAGCCTCCAGACCAAAAAGGCAAAAAGGCAAAAAAAGGCCTTTGATGTGCAAAAGAGAAGGGGAGTGGGGGTTTTTTCAGCCTATTTAAGGTTGGGATATCATGAGCTTTGGCACGCTCTCCCTAGTTATTTGATATGTAAACCATTTCAGCCCATTAAAAGCTCATCTTGTCCTCCGTACTGCATCAGATTCGCCTGTGATACACAGCCTGAACTTGCCCCCTAGGTTTCAAGCCTTACTTGGTACCTGTGTCACTGAATGATTAATGACATGGTGACTAATGTCTGATGAAACAAATACGTACAGTGTGCAAAATTAATTTCTCAGCATCAAGGAGAGTCCCTGGCTTTGCAGACAGCTGTGAGTACATTAGCAAATCTGTTCTGTTTTTGAATAAGGCCCTTGTTTTAGGAAAACATACACCTGACATTTCCTGAAATCAAAAAAACGTTATCCTGATGAAGGCATGCATTATGGCAAAATTCAGACCAAAATAAAAGCAAAAGGACAATGGAATATGACACTTTCTTTGATTATTTTGGCACCTCCAGTAATGCTAGCTACACTGACCTTTCATGTAATTATAGGTTATGTGTCAATGTGAAACTGCATAGCAGTAACATGTCCATTTCTTGTCATTACATAGTAACTATGTAGTGCTAATTACAATGTAATAACAATTGTATATTAAAATATCCACAGTCAGGCAGGCAAGTATCATATATCATTTATCATTATCAGTATCAGTTATCATTTAGTATCATTTTCATTTGTGAGACTCTTACACTTGTGGGAGCCATTACTGTAGCTCCTAATAACCATACATCTTCCTGTTCTAATTCTCTCACTGAGCACAACGACAGTGAAACCCCATGTGAGTTGGGGGATTCTGAGTTCCATCATCTCTATTAGAACTGACATTCTTCCCATGTGGAGCAGTCAGAATGCAGAGGGGGCAAGGGGTGGGGTTGGGGGGCAGCGGCTTCTTAGCCTGGTTTATTTTTGTTGTCCATGTGCTCTTGTTTACCGTTTTTCCCTCTGCTCCAGCCCTGCCCTGCCCTCCGCCCTGTCTCCGCCCACCTGATTACCTGACTGTCTCCACCTGCCTGCCTGCACACCTGCATCCCATCTGCTCATCAGCCTTGCCGTATATATTCCCTGTTTGCTTTGTTTATCTTCGCTAGTTTGTCACAGTTCCTCTGTTTCACTACAAGCCATTTTCTCCTGTTCTGCCTGCCTGTTTTTGCTGACTTTTGCCTGTTCCTCTTGACCACGCTTTTTGGATCTGATTTTTTTTATCGTTGCTGTGCTTTTCTGGATTGTCGACCTCGCCTGTTTTTGACCTCGTGCTCTGGACTTCAATTTGGGAATTAATAAACTCGCTTTGTGCATCCCTCCATCCAGTCTGCGCCTGAGTCCCTGCCTGAGCCCTGACAGGACCCATTGCTTCCTATCAAATTGGCTGTCCTCGGTTCCCTTTCCCCATGATTCTCTCTGACACCGGGACCCTACCCATCCAGTGGTCACACAGGGAGAGATCGTAACACTCTAGCCTCTATGCTATTTGTGGCCTTTCTGTGATGTTATAATCAAATCCATTTCAATCACTTCATTCATTGGACAGCAAATGTGCTTCAGGACTCAGCCATATGTGGTTAAGGAGACAATTCTGTAGGTCTGACACTGTCGTTGCTAACACTTGCCTCTGCTACCCTTGCCTCTGCAAAATATCTAAATGCATAAACACAGAATACATAAGGAATGCAAGATGCATTGGATTAAGGTGTCTGCCATATTATAATAATGAATAATAAATGTCTAGTGACAGTGTGTGCTAAGGTTTAAATTAGCCTTCACCAAGAATATTGGTGCTGTTTGTGTTTGTGTGAACATTGTGTGCTGCCCCACACACAGAACATTCAGCTGCTGTGTCTCAGCACGTAATGTGTAAAGTCAGGTTTGACTGGAATGCCAACATATCCGCGAGCTAGAGGAGCTGCCACAAGCCAGACAGAATCAGGAAGGTACCGGAAAAACAAGCATCACTTTCATTTAAGGGGTTTGCCTGGGAAAAAAGAAGAGGGGAAGCCAAGGGCTCAGGTCCAGGCCTTATTTGGTGGCCCATAACTATAAGCATGGGGAAAAGTCCTCTACAGGCTGACATTACCTTTTATGGAAATATTTCACCTTCTCTGAGCCATTTCCTTGTTAAAATAGCCCAAACTTAACACCAAAGTACACTATATACAAGCTGCTATCATGTGCACGTTATAGCCCTGAGAAGGAGCAATGATTCTTAATTTTTTTTGCTTGTTTTTACAATGGAGAAAAGCTGATGTTTGACATTTGACCTGACAAAACTTCACTTTGTTTTTCAAGTAAACGTGAGTGCTGTGTTAGACTTGGATGCTCAGCACAGTAAAATTGGTGAACTGACCTTTATTCTGCTGCACATGCATTACGCAGTCTTTCCCAGATGGCTAATGTCCTTCCTTTCCCTCTGAACCCTGGTGTCCTGGCTCTGGGAAATGTGTGGGACTGGGAGCAGAAAGCTCAACCAGTCACTCTCTCTCACAAAGCAGCCTAGTCCTCTGAGAAACAGTGTCTAGCACAGTCGGGTGCAGCTCTTCGCTGTGAGCAGATTGGGTTACACTGATACAAATTTAGCTACGTGTCATGCAACATCAAAAATGATTAAAACATATTCCATATTTCTTTTATAAATATTTACATTTCTAATTTCTTTGAAAGTGCATGTGGTTGGGGGGCATGTAATATGTTTTTTTCCCATGTGATCCATTAGCAGGTTATTTCAGCAGTTGTTGAGATGACATTTACAAAGAAAATAAATCAATCACACATGATATATGCCAAATTCATATCATCAGCACACATGTGACATTTACAGAGCGAGATGGTTTTAAGCAGGTCATTGATATAAACAGGGAACAGCTGAGGGCTGGTTATTGACCCTTGGGGAATACCAATCTTTTTCTGAAGGGAACTTGATTAGACAACATTCATCACTACTCCCTGGGCTAATACTTGATCAACAACTCCACAACAGGGAGCCTGTATCAATGCTCTTCAATAAATCATTTGCAGCTCCACCAAGAGCACATATTGGGCAGCAGTGTGGTGTAAGGGTAAGGAGCCAGGCTATGCAAAGGTTGCGGGTTCAGTTTGTAAGTGGCCACTGCTGTTGTACCCATGAGCCAGGTCCTTAACCCAAATTGCCCTAGTAAATACACAGCTGTGTAAATAAATAATGTAAAAATTGTCAGGGATCTTACAAGAATGCCTGCTATGCTAGTGTAATGCATGACTGGAACTCCGGCAAAAGGCTATTGTGCTGGAGATATACATAACTGGTTATGGACAGAGTGACCCATTACTGTTACAGTTACCTACAAAAAAGAATCTGGCCTATAATTGCTTGCTTCATCCCTCTTGCCATTTCTACGTTAGTTTTGCCACATTCACATTAACATCAATGTGGGCAGAAAGGTTTATTACGTCTGCAGACACTTCCAGTCTCACACATTGAGCATCAGGCTTGTGCACAGAAACCACACGCTGTTAAACACTCGGACCTCATAATCGCAATTCAAACTCAAACTGACCCAAAGAGACAACGGCTCAATACAGACACCAAGTGCTGTTCTTCCCAACCTCAAACCACTTATCTCACCCTCTGCAACACCTCCAGGACCTTTGCATCTGAAAGGTTCTTTTCAGGATGGCCGAGTGGTTCTAGGTGCTGTGTTCAGGTTGCAGTCTGGAGGCGTGGGTTCGAATCCCACTCCTGACATTGCTTTCAAGCTTTCTCTTTGAAGACTTCCTGCCATTGTGTTTGGGTGGCAATGTGGCATGGTGGTGATGAGCAGGGCTCGTAACCAAAAGGATCCCTGTCCAATTCCCCACTGGGGCACTGCTGTTGCACCCTCAGGCAAAGTACTTAACCCACAATTGCCTTAGTAAATATCTAGCTGTATAAATGGATAACATGTAAGAATTGTACACTATGTAAGTCACCCTGGATGAGAGCATCTGCTATATGACAGTACTGTAATGTGATATAATGTAATGTAGTGAGTTCTCATAGAATTCAGATCCATACTGATCATTGCAAAGCAGCGACAGCATGGGATCTTCAATTAAACAGAGGGATGATTGTACATAATCACACACACTTAATGCCACACCCCGACACCACTGAAACGCCAACAACGGAAACCAACTGCAAGAAATATAAATAAAATGTCTCCACACAATTTATTGCCATATTGATTTATTGACACACATCGTAGGGTAGCGGTGAGTAAAGGCAAGGATTATATTTGTAAATCTGTTGCCTCCTGATATTTGTCGCTCTCTGCATTGATTAATGTGTGTAAACAGGGCACGTTTGGGCCTGACAGAGTGTAATGGATATCACTGTGATCCTTTCGATTAATCTTGCGCTGCTCAAACCATGAAGTTCACAGTCAGCATCTGGTGGCATTAAAAAATAATGAATGCCAGAAATGAAGTCATTTATTTAAAAAAAAACTTGATATTTTTTAGTCCGAAGGATATTTTTTTAAATTCATGTCTCAGCTTGAAAGTTCACTGGTAGACTGGTAGGGCGGCAATGCAGCATAGTGGTAAGGAGCAGCGCTCATAACTGAAAGGTTGCTGGTTTGATTCCCCACTGTGGCACTGCCACTGTACCCTTGGACAAGGTACTTAACCCACAATTGCCTGAGTAAATATCCAGCAGAATAAATGGATAAAAACTGTAACCTGTGAAAGTTGCTAAATGCCAACAATGTAATGTAATTTATTTGCATTTTGTAATATTTTGGAGAGTTGAAACAGATTCCTAAATAGGTTGTAAGAGGCTCTGTTTGCATGCTGTACACCTTTTTGCAAACTTCCCTAAATGTGCGAGTGAGAGGAGGAGGTGGAGATACTTCTTGCTTTATGAATATTGTATCATTAGCAATTTGGGGGGTGCCGAAATATCGGAGCTGAATAACTGGGTTTTGATTAGGCAGAGTGCTCTAAGTGTGCGGTGTTCTGCATGCTGATCAGAGCAGTTATCATCTCCCTTTATGTCAGTGATTTGGTTTGAGATTTTTTCTTAAAGATCGCTGACCGCACCCCTGCAAAGCTACTTTGGGACCATATTTCCATATCTTCAGCGGAATGAACCCTGCTGTGCCGCTCATAAAATTTGCATGTGTAAAGACAAGGCAGTCAGATATTTAGAGTCTCCTTTCAAAAACCTGCTATCTTCAGTTGGGTGTGTGTGTGTGTGTGTGTGTGTGTGTGTGTGGGGGGCATTCATTAAAGATTCAGTACATTTTGTCTCTCACACTCAGAGTTGGGTGGAGTTTGCAGTCACGACACATAACCATTACATCAAAGAACAGGTTGTAGCAGACAATTTTCTGTGTAAGAGGATAGTAATTTACCTGGTCCATGTGAACCATTGCTCCTGTGTGTTTGAAGTAGCCTCTTCACTTGGAAGGACTATGCCAACACTAGGCAATGTGTTCCTTTTAAAGATAAAAACACAGAGGTTTGTCAGGACAAGGGGTATGAAAGGAATACAAACAGGAAGACATGGGGAAGTAACACAGCACAGAAGCATAGTCATGTTAGCAGGGGGAAAGAGATGGGATCCTGAATAGCTCAGTGGCTAAGGCTCTCACTCTGAGTCCAAACTGGGCCCGGGTTCAATCCCAGCCGTGTCATTGGCTGACAATGACCAGGAGTCCACAGCGGCAGAACAAATTGGCTTTGATTCATTTGGGACTGGGGTGGGTAGGTTGGTCAGGTACCCTTTGACTCATAAAGCACCAGGAAGATGACATCAGAGGAGTAGAGTCTAGGTGGCAATGAGCACGCACTCCACTGTGGTGCACTGTGTGACTTGCAGTGTGAAAAATATCCCGTGGGAGAGGCAAATGTATTGGAGGATTTTATTAGTCTTGGCTCAGTACTTTTGCATGAGTGCAGAAGTAGTTGTGATGAGATAAGCCTAGTAGACAACTAGTGATTCCAAAATAGGGCTGCATAAAGGGAAAAAAGCCAAAAAAGAAAAGTGGGAAAGAGATGAGAGGTGGGATGAATTATTGTAATGAAACTCACATAAATCTAAACAATCAACACCTGACCCATGTATGCACCTCATTAGTTGTGAAATTAGGTGTAACCCCTGTGAACTCATAAGAACCTTCTGCCCTTTGATCAATTGATAGACAGCACTGAAAACCAGATTCTCATTACACTAAATATTTCCTCAGAATTGTCCAGACTGTTTGTAAAATTAAAAGCTCCACTTTTGGGACCTGCTGGAGTATAAACTGAATTATAGCAATGAGGCACAAGGGAGAGGAGACTGGAACCCAGAGATTTGAAGTTTGATTTCCAGATCTGAGACCGTTTGGATTGCACATGGAAGAGATACTTGCCCTGAAATCCATCAGCAGATTCCCAGGAGCTACGAAGTATACATGTATGTCCAAATGTAGCTTTGTAAGTCACCCCAGATCAGGGTATGTATGGAGGAAATAAGCATGTGATATAATAATGTGCCAAGCCCTAAGTTTTGCTGTTCCTAAATACATTTTTCTTTACATTTTGTACAAAGTAGCTTATATCACATTTCTGCTGCACGATCAATGATTAGAGAGCAAATGCATGCTCATGGTTTATTACAATACATAACATTTGGTTAGTAGCCTTTTTTTATCTGGAGTGCCTTACATAGCTTATATTTATGCAGTCTTTTTATGGCTGGATATTTATTTGGGGTAATTACCTTGTCCTAGGGTGGAACAGCATTACGCTACCTGGGAAATGAAAAGAAACCTTTATGAGTTACAAGTTATGAGTTATGGATTACGAGTCCTATTCTTTTGTGGACCATGACACCATAATGCTGGTTCAGGGGAGGAAGCCAGCTACTAAGTCATATTTTTACTTTACAGATGATTGTCTTCATAACTGGCTATCACCTTGAACACATAAAGCCAGCATATTTCCTATTGTACTGCATTTCCCTCCACAAGGAATGTATCCAGTCATTACTGAGCTACTGAGCAATAAGAAAGAATTCAACGAGAAGACAAGAGAAACAGTACAACTGTTGGTTTCCCTCATGGTAAGAAAAGCTGGTCATTCAAAGTCAGTCATGCATATCAGGTCATGATGTTTTAGGTGACGAGCAGCACAAACACATCACAATAAATTACATTTTGTTCTACATTAAAAGATGAATTCCATTCATGTTGATCTCAGGCTACATTACACTTTAGGGGCCTTCAACAAGTTATTGCATTCAATTGCTGATTTTAAGAGTCATCTGTTTGTATTCACTTTGCGTGAGGACTGCAGTTGTGTATTGATGTAACTGGAAAATTAAGGGTACTAACTGAAATTGTGAATTCTTTCTCACTCGTTTTTACTCTAGTGCTGGTTTTTAGTCTTTGTATTTCTAATTGGGTCGTGCCATTTGGATGTTGACCTGTCTATGCATGTGGAAAGGTTTGCTGTGAGCTTAAGCCCACGGTGCTCACCACCTAAATGGGACGGGAGGACAAGTGATGTCACCTTCAGTAGCAGACATTCTTGCACTCACTCACATCTGAGCCTTTTATCGGGCTGACTCTTATTAAACTACGTCACACAGAGTGTCATTGCCTCTCCGACATTACTGACCTGCAGCTGAAAATCTTAATTATGGCAAAAGATTGATGTAAAGTTCGGATTGATCTACAGTCTCTCTCTTTTTATTACACGATTCAATGGGACCCATCCCCTTTGTTGTAATTACAGTGATTTAATGTACACTACACATTATGCTTCAATGTTATATGCAATAAAGAAATGGCAAGTAAATTATTTATAGATGGGCAATGCTTTTTTAATTCTGGACACAGTTGTGAAAAATGAACAAAATTAGGCTCAAGATGGTAAGCACTTCGATGGTGAGGTTTTAGCCTCTGATAATGTCTGAGGTTACAATATTAGAGGTCCACAAGGCTCACTGGAAAAAAACAGGTCCACATGATTGGGCTGGGTTGGTCACAGGTGGTTTTCCAATGTAAATATTCTTCATCCAACAAATGTGAAATCAGAGAGCAATATTATTTGAAGCTCATGCATTAAAGGGTGCTAGTATAGCCTGGGTTAAATAATCAGGCTTGTAACCCAGGGGTTGCAGGTTTAATTCCAGATTCCTCTGAGCAAGGTGCTGATTTGATTCATTGAAAAAGTCCAGCTGTATAAATGCATACAATTTATGCATCTGCAAAGCACATATGCAATACAATGGGATATACCAGAACGCTCATATACATGATTAGAAGTGCATGGCCATAACTATCAATATGTAAGTGGAGTCATGAACAGAAATATGATACATTAGGAACCAGCAGAGGAATGTAAAAAAAAGATTCAAACTTTAAAAATTCAGATTCAGACTACATCTATACTTTGCAGATTCATACTAAAGATTCAGATTCAGACTCAGAATAATCAGCCATCTGAAGGTAGGTTTTAAGCCTTTCATGTTTCAAAATCGCACGCCTCCATCTCTCCAGTTTTGAAGAGACAGCTGAATTCAGCTCGGGGCAGGAGCAGTGGGCGTCCAGCCGCGCCAGGCCTGCTCCCGGTGCTGTTCACAAAATGACAAGGCCTCTTCTCACTTCTACAAACCAGCTGCGTGAAAACACACTCTCGAGCACAGTCATGGGTGCCAGGCAGGATGCCTACCTTAACTTGCAGTGTTTTTCCTGTAATGAAAGAGCGGAGAATTGC